TCGAGGTGTCATGAAAATGAGGTAAAATAGGACGTACACGAAGGAGAGCGAGCACTGAACTCAACGAGAAGGCAGGAGAGCGAGGATCTGTTCTCAGCTCTGGAACCGGCGGTGGGACTGCGGGCAAGTCTTTTGGCTTCAGGGTTCATCCGGAAAATCCCACCGGATGCCAAGCGCCACTCGGGGAGGAGCTGTGCCCAGCTCATTTGCTGCCACACCCCATCCCTCCGGCATAATTCCAGACGCGTGACAGGCAACGAAGCAACACCTGTGGAGTGAGTGGATGAGCAGGAAGGCGCCATTCCACCAACCCTCCAACCCTTCCAGCTCCAGAACGCGCAGGTCCGTGACCCAAACCAGGGCTGAGAGAGGCGCCATGCCTGAGAGCCAGGGCGGCCAGCAGGGCCCCACTGCCCAGGCACCTACCAGGAAGGGGTCACGCTGGACGCTGGGCAAAGGGGGGCAAGCCGGGACTCAGAGATCTCAGTGGTAATCCGTCAAAGCCCTGGTGAGAATCAGGAAAGAACATTCCTTTTTATCCTTTTCTGCTATCTGGTTCCTGACTTTGTGCTTTGGTTCAAAACTGCCTTTAGTCCTGACTGAAGACTTAGTAAAACAAAATCTCAGCAAAAAAAAAAAAAAAAAATGAACCCCTTCCTCCTTCTATCACCTCCAACTCACTGTGGAGCTCATGCTCTCGTCTCTCCCAAGATATCTTACTGGTGATCCCAGAAACATTTGCGGTCATCGCCCGAGTATAGCTCTTTCCTTTCTTTGGCTAAACTATAATTTTGCTATTTATAAAAGTTACAAACGGAATGCAAATGTGCCTGTTAACTTTTACATATTGTTACCACTCCAATTCTGATTTTGAAGGGAAAAATGTTGCATTTGTGAGAACATTCAAATTTAGTGTAAATTTCACAAGCTCAGGAAGATTCTCTTGGTTATTGGAGGCACAGAAACACAATAGCCTGTGAATCCATCCCGACTATAATATTCTCCCTGTTTACATCACTCTCCCATCCTACCTCCAAGCACACACATGCCTTCCCCTTCAGGGATGATCAAAACGCAAGACCATTACACCACGTTGGAGTTACTTAATGTTCTAAATTGCTCTCTCAGAGAGTTCAAAGGTGTTAGGTATTAGGTCAGAATTTTGGATGCGATCGTCATTATTTATTCTTGAGTTAAAAAACAAAGGCTGAATTGATTGAAAGGGCTAGTCTTTTCCATGTGGAAAGATGAAAATGGAGATTTATGATTACAGTCTCACAAATGATGGAAGGTGGGCAGTGACTATAGATAGATTTCTTCCCTGAATCCTGACATACCAGAACTTAAGGGGACACAATAAGAATCAGAGGAGGGACCTGTTTACGAATCCATTTAGAACTGCCCCAAAGGGACGTGCTGAAGGGACGTTGCAATCCCACAATCTCAGAGGTTGCTGGGGGGCCCAGGGAAGCTGACTGGATTAAAATTCCCTCCCTGCCAACCCAGCCACCCTGGGCAACTTAGCCTCCTTGAGACTCAGTTTCCTCAAATGTAAAATGGAGATGATGATATCTATATGAAAGGATTGCCAGGAGGATTAAACAGGAGAACTAGCCCAGATGGATGCTGTGCACCGTATGAGCTGATGAATGCCAGCTTCCCCTCCCCCACACGCCCTCCCACATCTGACCTGCTTTTTCTGCCCAGCCAGTAACTTGGACAAGTTATCATCAATATAGACCTTACTACTCCCAAAAAGTAGTTCAGGTGAAAATTTTGCATAAGCTGGGGTGGAGGGGGAGTTTAGTTGGATGTGTAAATGGTAGATAAAGTTTTGGGGTTTCCATAAATTCAGGCTCTGGGTGGCTCCCCAATCTCGGGGTTGCAGCTGGAAGGACAAACTGCCGTCAGCCAGTGTCAGAGCCAAGGAAGGGTTGTCCCACTGCTGTGTGACCCTGCTGGGCCCCTTGTGGGCTTCTACAGAACCTCCTGCTCCTTTGTCTCTCATTAATACAAATTTCCCAGGGCCTTACCAGTTGCCCAAATAGCTAATATACTCTATTAATTTGAGTTAAAATGTTAATGGGTAGTAATGACTTTTCATTTGCGGCCACTCCCCTATGACTCCTGCATTTTAACCCAAATATTCGATGACTTCGTCTAAAGAAGTAATTACTGCGAGACCTCCTAGTTTTCTTGGAAAATCCAAGGCAGGAAAAGGGACTTGCTTAAGCAGAGGGGTGGCCAAGCCAAGTGTGAGCGCATGTGGCAGTATACATCAGCAGTCTGACATTTGCTGCCAGTCAGTCTTCCTCCTTCCAGATCCTGGAAACAACCTCATTTTTCAGAGACAGCAAAGGGTGGTGAGTGTGCACAGATCACTTGTTAAAAGTCGCTGGCCAGGAAGATCCACGCCTAAGTGCTTATAGACAGTATTCTACAGTCAACAGTCACAAGGGTCCCCCATCACTCTCCAGGGAAAATCCCATCTCAACGACTCCCGTTGCAAGGACAGCCTCTGCCTTACAAAGCTATCTCTATTTCCCAGCAGATGTATATTTGAGGGACATTGCTCTATGGGTCTGGTTACAAGGACTTCTCTATAAGGGACGGAACTGTTCAATAAAATTTTCTACTTTCTCCTGGCCACTCTTAATGACCCTTCTCTGGTAGGTGCAAAGGAGGATGACTGAGCCTCAGATAGGAACGTGGGTCACCTAATAGGAAGCATAAATAGAGTCAGTTGTGATAGTGCTTAGCGCAGTGAGGTTTATCTGACCTCATGATCACAACAACCTCCACGATGTCCTACCTAGTAAGGGTGTAGTTGGTAGAGGAGCAGGGACCAGAGGAGGAGGAGGATGGACAGCTTCTTCTTGCTCTTTCGGGTGATATTATTAATTAATTACTAATATAAACTAGTCAGGAGACCTTAGCTCTACGGTAGCTCACATCCCTTATCATGATTAGGCACTTGCAGGTCTGTCTTCCTCCTGAGCACTAGAGGGCAGGAAACTGGAAGTGTGTCTTCTGGGTATCTCAAGCCCCTAGCACAGGGCCTGGTGCAAGGTAGGTGCTCAGTAAACATGGCTGAGTGTGGGAGTGGAGGAGTGACTGAAATGTTCAGTGGCATGCCTGGTGCACCCTGTTCTTACCCTCCCTATCCAGTTGTCCCAACCATTTATCTCAGAAAAACAAGACAAAGTGATAACGAAAACAACTCCACAACTCCTAAACCCCATCAAGCAAGACAGAGGGAAAGATTCTAGGCGCTCAACAAACTCCGAGACAGGATGGTTGGACCCCGTGGCCGGCTACACTGATGGGAAACCCTCTTTTGCTGTCCTGTCCCCTCCTCTGACAGGGAGAATGACGCCCAGCACAGTTCTCAATACCAGAATGGCTCGCCACAAGAAAAATACAAGGTGTTCCAGAGGAGCTCTCTGTGAAAGGAGTCTCTAGAGGTGCACAGACTTGGCAAGGGGCTGGGAGAGAAATGAAGGGCTGGGATGGGAATCGGTGCACCCCTACTTTGGGGAGAAGACATCTGCTCTCAGCACTCAGAGGAGGTGAGGCGGAGCTTTCCCCCACCGTGCTGCGTCCCTATCCTGCTGTCTAGGCAGGGTGATGGGAACTCCTGGCTCCTAAGGGCAACAAAGCCCAGCAGCCCCCAAGCCTGGAAGCCTCCTTCCTGCCCCTCCTTAGAGGCAAAAGGACAGGCCACAGGTGGTGCTTCCTTGGGGAAATTAGAAGGCCCTCTTATGTCCCCACCATCGCCCTAAAGGGACTTGGCTGCTGCCAGCCTGTCCCCAAACCCCTCTGAGAGGGCCTGGGGACACGGCCAGCCTGCCCTCCCCTCATTCTCCTGTGCTTTCCAGCAGTGGAGACCTTCTGGACAGCTTCTCCAAGGGGACTCTCCCCCACACTCACACCCCAAGAACCTTTTCACAAACCAGATGATCATGTCTCAAAAGTTATGTTTCCTGATTTCAGGGATTGTTACAATTAGTGCAAGAAAAAAAAAAGGCAATTCTCTAATTCCAGTAAAACTTAATGGGGCCCTTCCCACCCCAGGCAGAATGGTTGGTTCGAAATGTAATTTGAGTTAAACCGTCTAAGGCTGGGAAAGCGCAAAATATTCAGCGGGGGGTGTGGGTATTACCTCTTGTGGGAGCCATATTTTTCCATAAGGCTTTTTGATCAAGATAGGACTCCGGGGGTCATCGATTTTGCTAGGTGAGGGTAAGAGCTGGGGAAATGAAGGCCACGCGGAGTCAGCACCCAGAGGCCCGAGGCAGGGCGGGCGCTGAGTCTGAGTCTGCCACTGCAGGCAGAGAAGCCACCGGAGCGACAGCCCAGGGTTCTAGCCAGGACCGCCTTGACCTAGGGCAACTTGGAGACCCCTCCGGACCAGTCTCGGGTCTAAAAATGGAGACCAAGATGACCACGTGGAGGGAGTGATTTCTCTCTGGCTGAGCACCTCGCCCACAAATTCCAAGGAGCATCTCTGCCGAAGTTGGCCTGACTTGGGTATTTCTTCTCCCCTCCCCTTCCCCCACTTCCACTCCTAATTCGTCAACTGCTGAAACATCTGTCTGGCTGAAACCGCCTTCTTGGCACGCGCGCTGGGGGCTGTCCCCAGGTGTTGGTCTTTGTGTCGGGAAAACTTTGGGAGGAAGCGAGGGCGCTGGACAAAGAGCGGGCGAGGGAGGGCGTCTGCCAGCTGGCCGGGTGCGCCAGGCGGTGCGCGCTCTTCCCTGGGCTCAGCTCGGTACCTGGTGGCACGCGGCGCCCGCCCGGAGCCCAGCCTCCCCAGGCCGGGAGTGGCAAGCTCCCGCCGCCTCCCCACACCTCGGGAACTGAACGAATCCAGGCGGGAGAGGCGAGAGGCTGGACGCTGGAGTTGGTGGGAGGAGGGGAGCAGAGGCGCGGAGCAAAGCTGTCAAACTGCGCGCGGAGCCCGGCGCGGGGCGGGGGAAGAGAGGGGAGGGGACGGGAGGGGAGGGGCAGGCGGGAGCCGAGAAGGAGGGAGCGGGCTCGCAGCGCCCAAGCAACCCCTGTCTGTTGCTGCTGCTGCCGCCGCTGCCGCCGGCCCGGACTCGCCCGGAGCGCAGGGTGTCTGACCCGCTGCGCGCGGCGGCTCCTGCGCCCGCCGCTGCGCCCTCCAGCCCCTGCTCCTCGCGCCGGCCCGCGTGGGTCCCGGCGGGCGCGAACCCACCATGCAGCTGCAGTTCCGGAGCTGGATGCTGGCCGCGCTCACGCTGCTCGTGGTCTTCCTCATCTTCGCAGACATCTCGGAGATCGAAGAAGAAATCGGGTAAATAGCTTCGCCCGGGCCGTGCCACGAGCCCTGGCGGGATCTCTCCCTCCCCCGTACTCTCCAGCTCCACCGGCTTTGTGTGCGCCGCGCCCCCCTGTCGCTTCACTGAAGAGGTGGGGACGGTTTTGGCTGGGGTAGCGGTGCCGGGGGCCCGGGACGGTTTGGGAAGCGGAGGGTGGGGGCGCGGCTGCTGTGGGGTGTCCCCAGGCGGGGTTCATTGGCAGCCCCCCGCTGGCCCGCGTCGGGAAGCGGACTCACCCACCCTTCCCCCCTTTCCTGGCGTGTCCAAGCGCAGTGTCGCCGGGGTCGAGGGAGGGCGCCGGGGAGTGTCTCGGGCGGGCGGAGGGGCCGAGAGTGGAGGGAGGCAGGAGTTTCTTTGTCTCCAGCTCGGCCGCTTTCTCGCCTTGGCAAAGTGGGCAGGGGGCGCGCGGGGATTTCTGAGCTGGGGGAGGGGTACCCCAGGCCGGAGAGGAGGGCGGGGGCTCGGCACGGGCTCCGGGGAAGGGGAATGTCCCCGGTACACACAGGGACACGCGACTCCAGCCGGCCCAGAAGCCAGGCGTAGGGATGGCACCACTAGAACAGGGCGCGCGCGGCTGGGCTGAGACCCCCGCCCTTGCCTGGCTTTAGACGCTCAGCCAACCTGCAGCGATCCCGGCGACCCCGGGTCCCCGTGCGCTCGCAGCGCGGAGACCGAGACCTTACGGGGCAGTCTGTACCGCCGCCCGGTGGGCTCTGGGGCCCCAGGCGCGAGATCTCGCCCTCGCTTTTCTCCTGATCACTCCGGAGGTGGGGCGGGGCCGCAACCCCCAGCTCCTCCAGGCTCAAGACTTCCTGGAGCGCGCACTTGCGGGGCGGGACGCCGGGGTGCTGTGTCCCGGAGGCTGAGACTTGTGCCCCGCCCCGCTGCCTCCTGCACGCCGGGCCTGGCCCCTCTCCCGAACCTCCAAAGGGCGAAGGACAGGTAGGAAGGCAGCCGGGGCTCTGAGGAGGCCGGAGGAGAGCTTCCTGGCCCTGGGCAGGGAGAAGGTGCGGTCTCAGAGAGGGCAGAAAGTCCCTTCCTCCGTGGGATTTGTGCCCAGCCAGGCGCTCTTCACGAGTCCTGCGCCGCGTGCGCCCCTCCTTTGTCCCATTCGTTATTTCATTTGTTATCAGTAAGAGTTGAGGGCCCGCCATGCTGTCAGGTCCCTCCAAAGGGAGATGCCAGTCTTGGGCCCAGGATGCCAAGACCCTAAGGACCAAAATCTGGGCAAGTGACACTTCCTGCTCTCTCCTTTCCTCCCGCCTCTGCGCGCCTCCCCAGAATTCCCTCCGTGAACTCCACAGCTCTCTCTGCCTCTTTCCCCAAGAGTTCCGAAAACTTCCACAAATGCTGTTCTGTGAATACACGATGTGCCACCAGCTCCCACGCGCAGATAAACATGCTACTTTCCGTAGCTGTTCGCCTCAAAACTGTGGCTGGAAATCAGACAAGCCACGTCTTGGGGTGAGGGAAGATGCAATGAGGGGGCCTTCCCCGGGGCTCCCCGCTTTCTTCTCTCAGGGGTGGGCTCTGCCTGGCCCAGAACTCTTGCCCACCTTTGACGCTGGGCTGGGGAAGGACCAGCAGCTGCGCATTGTTCTGCTGTAAAAAACGTAAGTGCTCTGCTCCTGCGGGCGTCCTTAGCTCATCCGTTCACTGAACTTTTACCAAGTACCGTCTACATGCTGGGGACTTTTAATTTTTAAAATGCTGTCCGGAGATCGCTTTGCACATATATTGTGCTCTCCTGCCAAATGCATTGTGAAGCATGCACTCCCACCTCAGGTTGTTCCCGCAGGGAACTGAGGAATAAGCTCCAAGGCCTGAGCTAAGGAGGAAGGCATTTACAAACACACACACACACACACACACACACACACACTGCTCTTCTGCTATGGGTGTGTCCCCTGGGACCTGTTTCACTTGGAGGTCCAGTCTTTTTATCCTGCCCCTGCCTGGGCTGATTCTAGAAAAAAATTGTCAAACAGGTCAAATGTGTCATCTTCTATGGCATGTTTCTTCCCTCTGTTGCCTCTCATCCTCTGGCTTGAGCAGTCACCCCCCTCTCCCAGGGGGGCACTCATTCACTCAATCCTCTGGGTTCCCTCAAACCCCTCTAAGGGAGCTACTGTTGCCATCCCAGTTTACTGATGAGGAAACTGAGGCTCAGCGAGGTTGTATAACTTGCTGGTGATAAGTTAAGTGCTCGACCCTGGGTCTATGGGAGGCCAAACTGCATGGTCTTGACCGACATGCTAGACTGCCCTGCCTTATTTTTCTCCCTGTGCTGATGTGGCTGCCATGGATTGACACTCTCCATGATGTGTGACTGGGGCCAGCACTCCGGTCCCGCCCGTGGCCGGCCCACACATGTTTAACCCGGAGGAATGGGGGCACCTCTGGGATTTGCCATGGCTAGGGGGGGAAAGACGTGGAATCCTAGAGGACGGGAATCCTAAGAGCAAGTTCCGTCTGCTTGCAAGTGAGGCTTTGACACACAGTCACTTATTTAGTCCTTGGAAGCGCCCCAACTCTGGGCAGCCGGGCTGCGTGCCCATCAGTGCCCTGGCACGGTGGCCAGGGTGGGTGCGGAGAGGGCTCTGTGTTCCTCGCCATATGCCTTCCGGAGACCTTGAATCAAACTCAAGACCACGCTGCTGCCGCGCCAGCCCTGCTCCACCCCTTCCCCGCCTCGTTCTCTACCCGTGCTAGGGAGGATTGCAAATCACCTGCCAGCGTCGGCCCCTGGGAGGAAACAACGGTTCTACGACAGGCAGTGAACAGTGGGACCTTGCGATCTGTTAGGAAGGAACGAGGGAAGGAACCTCTTCTGGGGCTAAAATGTCCAAGGATTAAGGAAGGAAAAGGAAAAGAAGAAAGTGGATTATATGTATATTGTCTGGAAGAATAAAACCGAGGTTCACCTTTCTGATTCCCTTTCTTGTAACATGAGGCTTTTTACTGTGGTAGTCTTGGAGACCCCAGCCTGCTGGAGGAATTACATGCCATGTGGTGAGGAGCAGGGCTCTCTTCTAGGGGCTTTTTTCTGAGAGACACGTCCCCTGTGCTAAGTGATTACTTTTAAAGTTCCATTTCTGACTCTCATTCAGATGGGGCTGAACCAGAAAAAAGAATGTAGAAAGATAAGTTCCCTGCAAAGCACCCAGAGAGTCCCGCCTGGTGGCCAAGGAGTGAATTCAAACTCGAAGCCAGAAGTTGGGTGGGGCTTTGGTAAAACAGCTCCCGACCAACCCAGGCAGCCTCCCAGGGTTTAGAGTCACTGGGCCAAGTTGTAAGGTAGTCTTCTTCTGGTTGTCTCCTGAGCTTTCACCCTGAACATAACCTCCACGAGGGGAGTGTGAGACATGGCTGTCTTGCCCATCACTGGTGTCCCCAGCACCAGGCATTCAGAAGACATATTTAATAAACATCTGTTGGATGGATATCCTTCCAAGTCTGCTGCAGTGACGGGCACAGGTGGCATCCTTGGGCAAGGTTGAGACTCACAGAGCCTTAGGACAGGAAAGCAGCATAGAGCTCCCCCTATAGAAACCTCCCCTCTTTTTTTTTTTTTTTTTAATCTATTAAGGTAAATTTGTCTCTGCATCACTTGTCCAAGATCACACCTGATGGTTAAGGGCGGGGCAGGCTTGTGCAGGTCTCCTCTTCAATAACCCAGTGCTGTAGTCCCCAAATGAGCTTCTCTGCTCATAAGGGAGTTGGAGAACTCTGGTTAAAGAGGAGGTGAGTGACTGGGAATGATAACAATAGCAATCATGACAATGATGAAGATGATGGTGATGGTTAGCATTTATTGAGCACTTGCTGTGAGCCAAGAGCATCCTAAGTGCTTTCTAGACATTAATACGTTGTATCCTCCTGGCAACCTGGAGGTCACATACCGGTGGCACTAAGAGCTCCTATGTGTTGAGCTCTGTGTGCCACACGCTGTGCTAACTGCTTTGAGGCACTCATTCACTCAATCCTCTGGGTTCCCTCAAACCCCTCTAAGGGAGCTACTGTTGCCATCCCAGTTTACCGATGAGGAAACCGAGGCTCGGTGAGGTTGTATAACTTGCTGGTGATAAGGCAAGTGCTCGACCCTGGGTCTATGGGAGGCCAAACTGCATGGTCTTGACCGACATGCTAGACTGCCCTGCCTTCTGAATTATTTTTCCCCCTGTGCTAATATTGGGAATGGTTCTCAGGACTAATCTTCCTAACTCATCCCCCGAAGTTCTTCCGAAGGCCCTGAGTTTTTTTTTTTTTAAACAAAGAGCCTGGTCTGGCCTTCCGAGATTCCCCTTCAGTAACTTAGCAAGAGAGAAGGACTGGAGGGGAACTCAGGGCTCATCTCTTCAGAACGTGCCTCTGGTCCGACCAGGTTCAGTGCCAATGCTAGAAGACAGGATGGCATTAACAGGCAGAGCCCTGGATGAAAGCTTCTGCAGGAGGGAAAGCTCCTGTTCCGGGGCCAGCCTGACTCTGAAGTCAATGGAATGGGCCTTTCCGGATTCTGCATGCCATACCATGGTACCTGGGCATCTGGAGCAGGGGCGATTATGAAGATGTTTAACAAATGGTCCCTTCTCTGGCACCATCCTATTAGGATGGACATCTGAACGATCAGTACTGATGCTGCCCAGTACATCGTGGCCAGGGTTCCTAGTTCCCCGCAGCCAAACATCAGGCCCTATTCTGGGAAAGTACTAGAAGGGGTGGGACTAGCTCTGATCGTCAGCTGTGACTAGATCCCTGAGCAGGCGGCAACGGCTGCCACCAGCCAAGAGTGAGGTGAGTGCGCTGTTCAGTGGATGAGTGCAGGTGGATGGGAGGGAAAATGACCTTGAGCAGGTGCAGTCCAGGCACTCTGTAAGGAGCATACGTGATTGCTCAAGGCGATGCATGATGCAGTTTTGTTTTTTTTTTAAAGTCCATTCTTCTCCCCAGTCCTGGTGTACTTCACTCAAGTGTA